GGACAGACACAGAATTGTTACTGAGGGACACAGAATTGTTACTGAGGGCCACAGAATTGTTACTGACACAGAATTGTTACTTAGGGCCACAGAATTGTTACTCAGGGACACAGAATTGTTACTGAGGGCCACAGAATTGTTACTTAGGGCCACAGAATTGTTACTTACACAGGTTACAGACAGGGCCACAGAATTGTTACTAGGGAGGGACACAGAATTGTTACTGAGGGCCACAGAATTGTTACTAGGGACAGAATTGTTACTCACAGAATTGTTACTCAGGGACACAGAATTGTTACTGAGGGCCACAGAACCGTTACTTAGGGCCACATAAACGTTAATCAGGGACACAGAATTGTTACTGAGGGCCACAGAACCGTTACTTAGGGCCACATAATTGTTACTCAGGGACAGACACAGAATTGTTACTGAGGGACACAGAATTGTTACTGAGGGCCACAGAACCGTTACTTAGGGCCACAGAATTGTTACTCAGGGGGACAGACACAGAATTGTTACTCAGGGACACAGAATTGTTACTCAGGGACACAGAATCGTTGAATTAAAGAGTATGTCAGACAACATGCAGAGGAGTGGCAGAGGAGGCAATGTTTTAGGAGCGAGCAGACGTGGCAGCAGAGGAAGGGGTCGAGGCAGCACTATTCGCAGCCAGAGGCCAGTGCTCCCGGTGTCATCCAGCGGTCGTGTCTCCACCGACAACCCTGCCGTCGTCGATTGGTTGGCTCGGTCGTCTTCCTCTTCCCAGGTCACCTCTGACACCTACAGCCAACGGTCGGTGGGTACTCAGACACAACCGTTAGTTGGCATGGCCCGGGACCACCAAGCCCACTGAAATCACGTGTCCTCTACCTGCCCCTGTCCTTTGGTGTTCCCTCACCAAGCGAAGTATCGCATGCTGTGGGCTCAGCCCCACTGTACAGTGAGGAAGAGCTAACAGAGGGCGGTCAGGAACGGGGGGAGACATCCGCCTTTTCAGCAGCCAGGCGAAGAAGAAGTAGTGGCGAGGAGAGTGGCTCGGTAGCCGGTCTAGAGACAGGTCTGTCTCCTGACCCACACGCAGCCGAGGGGGCTAGTAGTGAGGCGGAGACCCTACTTGATGATGAGGAGGTTGATCGCACTTGGCAGCCTCGTCGTCATCAGGCAATTTCTTCCGCATCATCAGGAGAAGAGGGTGGCAGCTTGGCAGCGAGCAAAACAGTCGGTGGGTTGCCCAGGAGACAGCAGCAGGGTCGCAGCAGTGTCAGTGGAGCCAAACGGCCACGGAGTAGAGCACCAGCTCCACTGCAGCCTACCACCACGGCCAGTAGTGGTGCCGGTGTGCACGGAGGAAGCAGCAGTCAGCCAGTGAGGAGTATCGGGGGCAAAGTTTCCTACTCGGCGGTGTGGCATTTTTTGTCAAGCCGCCCGAGGAAGTAAACGTAGCCGTATGTCGACTATGTGGCCAGAAAGTCAAGCGTGGCCAGGGGGCCCATGTTGGGACTACAGCGTTGCGGCAGCATATGCAGCGTCGCCATTTGGTGGCCTGGGAAAACCGTGATAAAGATACGGCGGTTCTGCCCGCCCCAGCCCCCCGCTCCATCACCCGCTCCGTTACTTGCTCCGTCACCCGACGTCAATCGCCCTCCATCAGCCAGTCAAGGCTCCAACACCTCTGCTGAGGGGAGTTGTCGCTCGTTGGCATCTTCCGCTCGTTCAGATGCTCCTTCTCCTGCTACTCCTCTTCACGGATTCCGTCAGCAGTCTTTCTTGGAATCCGTTTCCAAGAGACAACAGTTTGCGAGCACGCACCCGACGGTGCAAAAGCTGAACGTCCTCCTGTCCAAGTTGCTGGTGCTGCAGTCCCTCCCTTTCCAAGTGGTGGACTCAGCACCTTTCCGAGAAATGATGGCTTGTGCCGCGCCGCGGTGGAGAGTGCCAAGCCGTCATTTCTTCGCCAAAAAGGCAGTGCCCCCTGCATTCACATGTAGAAGAGATGGTGGGCCAGTCTTTGAGCATGTCGGTCTCTGCCAAAGTGCACGGCAGCGCCGACGTGTGGAGCTGTAACTACGGTCAGGGACAGTACATGTCATTTACGGCCCACTGGGTGAACGTGGTGCCGTCACAGCCGCAGCCGCACCAGCAACTTGGACAGGTCACGCCGCTTTTGCCTCCACGTTTGCACGTCCTTGGTCCGGCAAAGATGTCCGCCTCTACCACCTCTTCTTCCGCCGTGTCCTCAGCCGCCACCCCCGTGCCAAGTCCCATTACCCGACCGGCATATCACATGTGCAGGGCGCAACGGTGTCACGCTGTGCTGCACCTGGTATGCCTTGGCGAACGTAGTCACACAGGGGAGGAACTTCTCAGTGTAATGAACAGAGAAATCGACAGATGGCTGTCTCTCCGCGCAAACTGAAAATCGGAACCATGTTGACCGACAACGGAAAGAACATGGTGTCTGCTCTCTGCGTCAAGGAAGGTGCCATGCCATGCGCCATGCATGGCTCACGTGTTCAATCTGGTTGTCAAGCGGTTCCTAAAATCCACCATCCACCATCCCACTGCAAGACATCCTTAAAATGTCACGTAAACTTTGCATGCATTTCAGCCATTCCTACACCGCAAAAGCACACACACCCTCCTTGAGCTGCAGCGGCAGAACGGAATTGCACAGCATCGCCTGATCTGCGACGTTGCAACAAGGTGGAATTCAACCCTACACATGTTAGACCGCCTTTACGAACAGCGAAAGGCCATCACCGATTTTTCCTGATGTTACAAGCGGATAAAGGTACTCCCCTGTGTAACTTGATGTCAGCCATTGGCAGCTCATGCGTGACACCTGCCGCTTGCTCAGGCCCTTTGAGGAGGCCACGCTATTCGTGAGTCGGCAGGACTATGGGATGAACGACGTCATTCCTCTGTTGCACGTCCTGGAACAAATGCTGTTAACAATGGCTGGTCAGGGTGCGGTAGACGTGGCGCACAGATCTCAACGCCACATGACCCCTGTGGGGGCAGGACAGGAAGAAGAGGAGGAGGTAGAGGAGGACATTTGTGCTCAGGAATTATTGAGTGAAATGGGTGGTTTTTTCCACTCAGCGGACAGGAGTGGAGGAGCAGGAGCATCTGGTAGAGGAGGAGGAGGAGGAGACAGAGGACCCAGACGCACCGTGGCAGTATGCTGTGGAGATGGAGGCAGGGAGTCCCTCGCATTCCTTGGCACAAATGGCCCATAGCATGCTCGGTGTTTGCTTGCGTAGCGACAGCCGAATAATAACCATCAGACAGAGGGATGACTTTTGGCTGTCCACCTTGTTGGACCCTCGCTACCGTTCAAAAATGGTGGCCTTTTTCACACCTGCTGAGAGGGAGGCCAAAATAACGTACTATAAAAACCACCTATGTAGTCAGTTGGTCTCTGCCTTTGTGCGCCAACGTCCATCCTCAGACACTGTGGGCCCTGTGTGCGCTCGCGTTCCGCTGCCATGGCAGCAGGGGAGGGGTGGGGTGGTAGGAGCAGTGGCAGCTCCACCAGCAGCGGCTGCCTCAGTCTGCAGTCGATGATGAGTAGCTTTCTTCACCAGCGCAGTGAGGAAACTACTAACCAGCCGCAGCAGCAGCAGCAGCAGCATCAGGTGGACCTGGAGCAGGACCTCAAACAACAGGCTTGGGCCTACTTGGACAGCACCCTGCCAACCGAGGTAGACAATCCCCTTGACTACTGGCAACGAAACTTGACCTTTGGCCCCAACTAGCTGAATTTGCCCTTGAAAGGCTGTCATGCCCGGCCAGTAGCGTGGCATCGGAGCGCGTGTTTAGTGCGGCAGGAGGTATTGTAACTCCGCGGAGGACACGACTGTCCACCCAAAGTGTGGAGAGACTCACGTTTGTGAAAATGAATCAGGCGTGGATTAGTCTGGATTTCAAACCACCAGTTCCTGACACAACTGACTAAATCCGCCATGAATCATGCCTCAAACATGTGCCACTTTCAGGTCTCCTCACACACTGCTGGTGTGTGTTCCATTTTTTGTCATAGGGTGCTGGCAGATTACGGGCCTCCCATAGCTGCTGCCAGGCCCCTAATCTGCCATGGGCCCCTATATACCGCCTCCTCATGCTGCTGCCAAGTCCAGAGTCTGTCATGGGTCCCTGTACGGCCTCCCATTGCTGCTGTCTCCATCGCCACACTCACTCTGCCATGTGCCACTTTCAGGTCTCCTCACACACTGCTGGTGTGTTGAAATTTTTTTTGACATAGGGTGCTGGCAGATTACGGGCCTCCCATAGCTGCTGCCAGGCCCCTAATCTGCCATGGGCCCCCTATATACCGCCTCCTCATGCTGCTGCCAAGTCCAGAGTCTCTCATGGGTCCCTGTACGGCCTCCCATTGCTGCTGTCTCCATCGCCACACTCTGCCATGTGCCACTTTCAGGTCTCCTCACACACTGCTGGTGTGTTGAATTTTTTGACATAGGGTGCTGGCAGATTACGGGCCTCCTATAGCTGCTGCCAGGCCCCTAATCTGCCATAGGCCCCTATATACCGCCGCCTCCTCATGCTGCTGCCAAGTCCAGAGTCTGTCATGGGTCCCTGTACGGCCTCCCATTGCTGCTGTCTCCATCGCCACACTCTGCCATGTGCCACTTTCAGGTCTCCTCACACACACTGCTGGTGTGTTGAATTTTTTGACATAGGGTGCTGGCAGATTACGGGCCTCCCATAGCTGCTGCCAGGCCCCTAATCTGCCATAGGCCCCTATATACCGCCTCCTCATGCTGCTGCCAGGTCCAGAGTCTCTCTCATGGGTCCCTGTACGGCCTCCCATTGCTGCTGTCTCCATCGCCACACTCTGCCATCTGCCATGTGCCACTTTCAGGTCTCCTCACACACTGCTGGTGTGTTGAATTTTTTGACATAGGGTGCTGGCAGATTACGGGCCTCCCATAGCTGCTGCCAGGCCCCTAATCTGCCATAGGCCCCTATATACCGCCTCCTCATGCTGCTGCCAGGTCCAGAGTCTCTCATGGGTCCCTGTACGGCCTCCCATTGCTGCTGTCTCCATCGCCACACTCTGCCATGTGCCACTTTCAGGTCTCCTCACACACTGCTGGTGTGTTGAATTTTTTGACATAGGGTGCTGGCAGATTACGGGCCTCCCATATAGCTGCTGCCAGGCCCCTAATCTGCCATGGGCCCCTATATACCGCCTCCTCATGCTGCTGCCAGGTCCAGAGTCTCTGTCATGGGTCCCTGTACGGCCTCCCATTGCTGCTGCTGTCTCCATCGCCACACTCTGCCATGTGCCACTTTCAGGTCTCCTCACACTGCTGGTGTGTTGAATTTTTTGACATAGGGTGCTGGCAGATTACGGGCCTCCTATAGCTGCTGCCAGGCCCCTAATCTGCCATAGGCCCCTATATACCGCCTCCTCATGCTGCTGCTGCCAGAGTCTCTCATGGGTCCCTGTACGGCCTCCCATTGCTGCTGTCTCCATCGCCACACTCTGCCATGTGCCACTTTCACGGTCTCCTCACACACTGCTGCTGTCTCCATCGCCACACTTGACATAGGGTGCTGGCAGATTTCAGGTCTCCTCACACACTGCTGCCAGGCCCCTAATCTGCCATTTTGACATCATGGTGCTGCAGATTAGTCCAGAGCCTCCTCATGGGTCCCTGCCAGGCCCCTAATCTGCCATGGGCCCCCTATATACCCTACCTCCTCCATCGCCACACTGTGCCATGTGCCTTTCAGGTCTCCTCACACTGCTGGTGTGTTGAATTTTTTGACATAGGGTGCTGGCAGATTACGGGCCTCCTATAGCTGCTGCCAGGCCCCTAATCTGCCATAGGCCCCCCTATATACCGCCTCCTCATGCTGCTGCCAAGTCCAGAGTCTGTCATGGGTCCCTGTACGGCCTCCCATTGCTGCTGTCTCCATCGCCACACTCTGCCATGTGCCACTTTCAGGTCTCCTCACACACTGCTGGTGTGTTGAATTTTTTGACATAGGGTGCTGGCAGATTACGGGCCTCCTATAGCTGCTGCTGCCAGGCCCCTAATCTGCCATAGGCCCCTATATACCGCCTCCTCATGCTGCTGCCAGGTCCAGAGTCTGTCATGGGTCCCTGTACGGCCTCCCATTGCTGCTGTCTCCATCGCCACACTCTGCCATGTGCCACTTTCAGGTCTCCTCACACACTGCTGGTGTGTTGAATTTTTTTGACATAGGGTGCTGGCAGATTACGGGCCTCCTATAGCTGCTGCCAGGCCCCTAATCTGCCATAGGCCCCTATATATACCGCCTCCTCATGCTGCTGCCAGGTCCAGAGTCTCTCATGGGTCCCTGTACGGCCTCCCATTGCTGCTGTCTCCATCGCCACACACTCTGCCATGTGCCACTTTCAGGTCTCCTCACACACTGCTGGTGTGTTGAATTTTTTGACATAGGGTGCTGGCAGATTACGGGCCTCCTATAGCTGCTGCCAGGCCCCTAATCTGCCATGGGCCCCTATATACCGCCTCCTCCTCATGCTGCTGCCAAGTCCAGAGTCTGTCATGGGGTCCCTGTACGGCCTCCCATTGCTGCTGTCTCCATCGCCACACTCTGCCATGTGCCACTTTCAGGTCTCCTCACACTGCTGTGTGGTGTGTTGAATTTTTTGACATAGGGTGCTGGCAGATTACGGGCCTCCTATAGCTGCTGCCAGGCCCCTAATCTGCCATAGGCCCCTATATACCGCCTCCTCATGCTGCTGCCAGGTCCAGAGTCTCTCATGGGTCCCTGTACGGCCCTCCCATTGCTGCTGTCTCCATCGCCACACTCTGCCATGTGCCACTTTCAGGTCTCCTCACACACTGCTGGTGTGTTGAATTTTTTGACATAGGGTGCTGGCAGATTACGGGCCTCCCATAGCTGCTGCCAGGCCCCTAATCTGCCATGGGCCCCTATATACCGCCTCCTCATGCTGCTGCCAAGTCCAGTCTGTCATGGGTCCCTGTACGGCCTCCCATTGCTGCTGTCTCCATCGCCACACTCTGCCATGTGCCACTTTCAGGTCTCCTCACACTGCTGGTGTGTGTTGAATTTTTTGACATAGGGTGCTGGAAGATTACGGGCCTCCTATAGCTGCTGCCAGGCCCCTAATCTGCCATAGGCCTCTATATACCGCCTCCTCATGCGCTGCCAAGTCCAGAGTCTGTCATGGGTCCCTGTACGGCCTCCCATTGCTGCTGTCTCCATCGCCACACTCTGCCATGTGCCACTTTCAGGTCTCCTCACACTGCTGGTGTGTTGAATTTTTTGACATAGGGTGCTGGCAGATTACGGGCCTCCCATAGCTGCTGCCAGGCCCCTAATCTGCCATGGGCCCCTATACCGCCTCCTCATGCTGCTGCCAGGTCCAGAGTCTCTCATGGGTCCCTGTACGGCCTCCCATTGCTGCTGTCTCCATCGCCACACTCTGCCATGTGCCACTTTCAGGTCTCCTCACACTGCTGGTGGGTTCCATTTTTTGTCATAGGGTGCTGGCAGATTACGGGCCTCCCATAGCTGCTGCCAGGCCCCTAATCTGCCATGGGCCCCCGTACCGACTCCTCATGCTGCTGCCAGGCCCGTAATCTGTCATGGGCCCCTGTTGTCGTTTGTTGGCATATTCCGCTCGTTCAGATGCTCCTTCTCCTGCTACTCCTCTTCACGGATTCCGTCAGCAGTCTTTCTTGGAATCCGTTTCCAAGAGACAACAGTTTGCGAGCACGCACCCGACGGTGCAGAAGCTGAACGTCCTCCTGTCCAAGTTGCTGCTGCCAGGCTCGTAATCTGTCATGCGCCCCTGTACCGCCTCCTCATGCTGCTGCCAGGTCCAGAGTGTGTCATGGGCCCCCGTACCGACTCCTCATGCTGCTGCCAGGCCCTTAATCTGTCATGGGCCCCTGTACCGCCTCCCCATGCTGCTGCCAGGTCCAGAGTGTGTCATGGGTCCCTGTACGGCCTCCCATTGCTGCTGCCAGGCCCGTAATCTGTCATGGGCCCCTGTACCGCCTCCTCATGCTGCTGCCAGGTCCAGAGTGTGTCATGGGTCCCTGTACGGCCTCCCATTGCTGCTGTCTCTATCGCCACACTCTGCCATGTGCCACTTTCAGGTCTCCTCACACTGCTGGTGGTTTCCATTTTTGTCATAGGGTGCTGTATGGCCTCCCATTGCTGCTGCCTCCACCGCCACACTGTGGCTCCACACTCTGGTTTTGGCCCCGTGACTGCCCAAATGAGTGAAGTGTGCGGTGATTCTAAGATCGACGGCACTCATCTGCATGTCATACTGACTGACAGTATTATTTCTCTTCCCCAGCAGACTCCAAGGGCATTTAAATTAAAGGTACAGTGTTCTGCACTAATATTAAGTCTCTCTGAAGCCTAGAAACACCCTTTTTTAAGTTAAATTCACAGCGAATATATTCGACTTGAATCAAAATTTTTCCACGAATTCGCCGAATCAGTCGAATCGAATTTTTGAATACTTCGCTCATCTCTACTAACAATAAATGAAATCATGTTATGGTCGCTGCTACTCAGATGTTTTTATATGAACATTAGTAATAAGCTCTGCATGGTTGGAGAGATTATCAGGTCCAGCAGAGCATCATTCCTAGTCGGGGCTTTTGTGAATTGTACAATAAAATTGTCTTGTAATAGGTTTATACATTTTTGCCCTTTAACTGTTCTTGCAGTGCTATTACTCCAGTCAGTTTCAGGGTAGTTAAAATCATCCATTAGCACTGTGTCATCGTAACCCTTTCTTTCTGTGCAAGGAGCTGAGTCTCCACCTCCTCATTAACACTGGGTGGCCTATAACCAGGGGCGTATTTGCCGCGAGGCAAACAAGGCATTTGCCTAGGGCGGCACTTTTCAGGGAAGCGAGACTTCCATGGGAAAGGGACAGGGCTGCCATGGCTGAGGGTACAGCAAGGAGGGTCACCCGGGCCAAGGGACTGGCTGCAGAGGAGAGCGGAGTGGTGGACGGATCAGCGGTGAGCGCTCGGAGTGCGTGAGGGGCGGGGATGTGCAGGAAGGTGCCAGCGAAAGAGGAAGCAGAAGAGGGCGAGTCAGGGTGGAGGAGCCTGCCCGCTCTTTTGCCACCGGAGATCCTGGGGGAGAAAGGACACAGGCAGCCGTCCTCGAGTGATGCTGACACCATCTGGAGGAGCCTCTGCTGGACAGGTTTAAGTGCTTGGAGGACTGGTGCTTCCCCACTCCTGTCTCACTGTCCCCCAATACACTGCCCTCCACCTGTTCCACTTACCCCCTCCTGTCCCCCACATTGTCCCACTACCCCCCATCTGTCCCCACTGCCCCCACCTGTCCCTCTGCGCTCCTCCTGTCCAGGTGCCCATCAATTGTCCCTCTGCACTCCTCCTGTCCAACTGCCCCTCACCTATCTCTCTGCGCTCCTCCTGTCCCTCTGTGCTCCTTCACCTGTCCCACTGCGCTCCTCCTGTCCCACTGCCCCTCACCTGTCTCACTGCGCTCCTCCTGTACCACTGCCCCTCACCTGACCCACTGCGCTTCTCCTGTCCTGCTGCCCCGATCCTGTCCCATGCCCCCCCGTCACGCTGCCCCCATCTGTCCTTCTACGCTCCTCCTGTCCCACTGCCCCTCACCTGTCCCTCTGTGCTCCTCCTGTTCCACTGCCCCTCAACTGTCCCTCTGTGCTCCTCCTGTCTCACTGCCCCTCACCTGTCCCTTTGCGCTCCTCCTGTCCCGCTGCCCCGATACACCAATTATGGGGCACTATTCCTCCCACTAAAACCAATGATGGGGCATTATTCCTCCTACTGACTCTAATGATGGGGCACTTCCTCCCACTGATACCAATGATGGGGCACTATTCCTTCCACTGATACCAATGATGGAACACTATTCCTTCCAATGACACCAATGATGGGGCACTTCTTCCCACTGACACCAAAGATGGGGCACTATTCCTCACACTGAAACCAATGATGGAGCACTATTCCTGCTACTGACACTAATGATGGGGCACTATTCCTCCCCCTGACACTAATGATGGGGCATGATTCCTCCCACTGACACTAATGATGGGGCACTTCCTCCCACTGATACCAATGATGGGGCACTATTCCTCCCCCTGACACCAATGATGGGGCACAAATCCTCCCATTGACACCAATGATGGGGCACGATTCTTCCCACTGACACTAATGATGGAGTACTATTCCCCCTACTGATACCAAGATGGAGCGGTATTCCTCACACACTGACACTAATGATGGGGCACCATCATTGGTGTCAGTGTGAGGAATAGTGCCCCATCATTGGTGTCAGTGGAATGAATAGTGCCCCATCATTGGTGTCAGTGGGATGAATAGTGCCCCATCATTGGTGTCAGTGGGAGGAATAGTGCCCCAACGTTGTCAGTGGGTGGAGCTCTAATAGGAAGAGGTGGGGCCTAAAGAGGAAGGGGTGGAGTTTGAAGATGAAAGGGTGGGACACATTTAGATGCGGGGGGGGGGGGGGTGCCCGATTTTAGTCTTACCTAGGTCAACACAAAACACACCACTGCCTATAACAACCTCCAATTATTAACTTTGCAGTATGCACACCCATATGCAGTTCCACCCATAATGTTTCAGCCTCATCACCACCTTTTCCTTTTTACCCTATCTCTCCAAAAGAGAGTATACACAGGAATATGAATAGCCAAGTAATGTGAAGAATGAAGACAAGATTCAGCAATACCAATTAATTCATAGTTCTTTTTGTGCCCCAAAGTTTCCAGCTCACCTATTTTTGTTAGGCATACTTCAGGCATTGTTAAACAAACACTTTAATACATTGTCACATTTTGCACGAGTATTTTGCCATTTTTTTTATTTTAGTACAAATATTACCATTTCCACTGGTTGTTTGTAACATGGGAACATTTGTATCACCTGCCATAGCCCTCCCCCCGTCTTTTCCCATTCCACCCACCAATAGGGACTGACCCCTGTCTGACCTGTTTGTGCCATTATAATCTAATTCACTCTCCTCAATCCTAGTTTAAATACTCCTCCTTGTTTATGCCTTTCTGCACTTCCCTCATCACCCCTAATAGATGGACTGCTCTCCCAGCTGTTAGGAGTAGCAGTGACTCCAGGGCTGCCACCTCCTGAGTTTGCAACCCCCTACATCTTCACCCAACTTGGCAAATCTGTTTGGGTGATCAAACCCAGGGCAGGCATTCCTTTTCTGTGAGCCTCTATCACTCCCTCTGACTACAGTAACCTTCCTACCTGACAATCCTGACTTACCTCTCCACATCAACCTCATTAACTACCTGCTCAGTGAGCAGAAGACTCCTTTCAAGGTTGACAGTTCTGCCCAGTGTTGCAACCTGCTCCTCCAGATCTTTAATGTGAGCTTCCAGAAGGGCAACCCACTCACATCTGTCACAGCTGTTGCTCCATTGTTGTATACTGTACATGTAACACACTGTGCACTGGGCAAAAACTCAAACCTCACTAGCACTCATTATCCCAGTTACAATATTAATTTACTAACCGGATATTTCAGATGTTACTTATAGATTAGAAGACTCCTGTTATAAATTCCTGTTTTAAACTCAGTTTTTTAACTCCACTTAGTCAAATTTCCCACTTTGTCAAAGTTCAAGAAAGCAAAATGTGGGCAAGCTCCAAGTGAGTTCTACAGAAACATATATACTGTCTGTAGCACCTGTGAACAATTAACTACACCCCCTTAATTAGGAAACTGAATGAAAGAGATAAAAAGGCTGTTTAACAGCTTCCCACCCAGCCAATGTAAGCCAATGTAAATAAACAGGTGGACAAAAACATAAGTGGTGCACAAAAACATCTGCCACTGTGTATTAGTGTCCTATCAACATCTGTCACTGTGTACCAGTGTCCTATCAACATCTGTCACAGCGTATTGTGTCCCATGAACATCTGTCAGTGTACCAGTGTTTCATCAACATCTGTCAGTGTGCCAGAGTCTCATCAACATCTGTCAGTGTGCCAGTATCCCATCAACATCTGCAATAGTGTCCCATTGCAACATCAACGTCTGTCAGTGTCCTGCCGCCTGCCTCTCTGGGATCTCCAGCCCACTAGAGATCCTGGAACAGAAGCAGCAGTTCTGCTGGCTTACCATAGAGGCCATGGAAGACAGGAAGGTGTCCGATGACCTGTATGGTCTATGAAACTGGAAATGATGAGTGCTGTAGTCACTTCTGGTTTCCCCATATGTAAACAGTGCCATTTTTAAATAGAAAAAGCAACTGAACACACTGATCTTGGTGTGAACAGATGCATTCAGGGCAGAGGAGACATTTGGGGTTTAATAGACCCCAGATCTCTCCATAAAGAGTGCCTGTCACTGCGTATTGCTGTCACAAGTGATGTTTACATTTCCTTGTGACAGCAATAATAGAAACAGTGTAAAAATCTAAAAATAAATATAAATTTAAAAGTGCCCCCGTGCTCGTGTTGGTCCCACG